ATACTAAAAATTTTACAAAAAAAACTTATACTTCCTTGTTTTGTTCTAAAGGCAGATACTTTGTTCCACTAAATTATACAAGCAATACAAAAATATTGAAAAAAAAAAGATGATGTAGTGTTGGCAATGACAAAAAGTACAGAAGCAAGGTAGAGTGAACACACTAAACCACACAAAAATCCCTACATAAGTAACCAAATCTTTCAAAGAAAAACTTTTATCTATAACTAAATGTTAACTTCTTTACATTTGCATAAATTCAGGTTTGAAAAAACTATTTATACTGAATAATGCAACATTTTGGTGTGTAAATCATCGTACCAACTTCAAGTATTGGTGAGCTAGCCCTTCTGACGCCAGAATCAGAATAATCAGAAGAATATTTGCCTGATACGCTACTCACCAGTTCTCTACTTTAGCGATGTATTTCTGGCTAAACTGAAGGTCTTAATACCTTTTGAAAACTTCGAAAACCTAAATTAGGTATTTATTAAAGTCTCTTATATTGTTATAAGAAAGATGTGAGACTATGATGAGCAATACATAATAAGGAGCGACCATTATTTCCCGGCCCATCCCTACATGCTATTCACTGCTGTACTTAGTGATAGGTTGTAATCTGTTTTAGCCAGATACGTCCATCGGTGCGTCAGCAGTGAGTTTACGAACTTACAACACTAAAATCCGCGGTTCGGTTCAACGCGGTGGACAGAGCACAGACAGCCCATTTTGTGACTTTGCTCTAAAACGTACAACCTTAGATCCGATCCTTTAATATTATAGATGTTTAATATACTGGAAGTTTCTGCAAAGCTAATAAAACTAGTTAATCTTACAATAATAAATCTTTAGTTAGGCTTTTACATTTTTGTATATCTGAAGTTTCCCAAAGAAGTTATATTATTGTCAAAATATGTATTTGATATGAAAACTTATGTGGGTTTAGATAATACAAAATATATTATTTTATTTTCGCTCTATGGACTGGCATGGCTTTGTGGTTAGGACACTCGACTTGCAATCTGAGGGGCGCGGGTTCAAATCCCTGTCACTGAACATGGTTGTCTTTTCAGCCGTGGTGGCGTTATAATGTAACGGTCAATTCTACTATTCGTTCGTAAAAGAGTGTCATAAGAGTTGGCGGTGAGTTGTGTTGACTAGCTGCCTTCCCTTTAGTCCATCCAATTAGGGACGGCTATCGTAGATAGTTCTCGTATAGCTTTGTACGAAATTCAAATTAAACCAATTCTTGAAAGAAGACAAATTGTAACTTGTTTTTGGAATTATATTAAGCTTAAGAGAAGTGAGAGGCTTAAAATTTAAGTGATAACAAAGGACACCAGAGTGTCGTTAGAATTAATTATGTTTATTTATTTTCTAAAACTGTCACTCTCATTTACTCTTACACAGAAGATTTTTGCACTAAAACGAGAACATCTCCATTTAATCTATTAGAGTGCTTGATTTGATTATTTGAATTTCTTAAATTGTTGGGACAGCGGTTAGTTTAAGGACTTACAACACTAAAATCCTGGGTTCGACTCCACGCGGTGAACAAACAAATAAAATAAATAATTTAAGTTGTTAAATTTAATAAATCATACTTCGGAAAAAAGACGAAATCGATTGAAAATAATCGGTCATATTTATTGATCATGCACATTTTACCCTATCGTGCGTTCGAAATGATCGATATACATTTATTATATCTTTATGGTATTCTTGTTTAAGAAAATTTCCAGTAAGGTAAGTCTTTCCTTCTAATAACACGGGAATCGATGTATTATATTGGCATGCAGCTGCAGAATAAACACAAAAATTAAGATCATCGAAGTGGCTAGACAATACTGAAGTGAATGACGTGTGATCAAGAACGGCACAGGCGCCGGAAGTCTCAGATAAATAAGACAATTACTTTATTACGTGGCTTGGAATAGCCTGATGGTTAGGGCATTCGACTCACAACCTGCGAATCGCGAGATCGATACCCAGAGCCGAAAATGCTCGCCCTTTTCGTAATGGAGATTTTATAATATTAAGGTCAATTCCACAATTCGTTAGGCTCCCAGGTGTCACAGCGGTATGTCTGCGGACTTACAACGTTAGAAATCTGGTTTCGATACCTGTGATGGGCATATGACATATAGCCCTTTGTGTAGCTTTGTGCATAACTACAAACAACAACTATTCGTTAGTAAAAAAAGTAGCCCAGGCATTGGCTGAGGTGCTGCCGGTCGGTTGTTTATCCTATGGATGACAACTCAAAATTAGGAAAACGGCTGATAGCTTTAGTAATTTTGACATAAAACAAATATGCAAACTTAATTATGTTTCTACTTTCTATCTGCTGGTAATACACAAATGTGATATGTCTCTGGATTAGACATCATTAACTAGAGCACACCACAGCAATTAAAAGGTGCCAGTGTCCTTGGATTAGACAACATTAATTAGAGCACACCACAGCAATTGAAAGGTGCCACTGTCTATGGATTAGACAGCATTAACTACAGCACATCACAGCAATTGAAAGGTGTCTCAAAGTCATTGGTCTATATAAAACACATGCTCACGAGATGAGTGCGGACAGTGGATTGAATAAAAATATTATAAATTGTCAGTAGTAAAATTTGAAGTCCATAACGTTATGTACCTTTTATGTACGTGAGCTGGCACAAGTATTTGAGGACTGCTTCCTTAACATGTTCTAATTCCATTGTGGTCTAATAAATATTCAACGAATTCGAGTTCAGTGCAGATGAATATCCAATATCCTGGTTTATCTTTATGCCTGTGCTTCATTGTGTCAGAGAACAAGTTTGATATTTTTAACATTAGATTTAAAGGTATTTTCAAAACCTCAAACATTATTCACATGACTCAAATTTCAACTATACACCTTTCAAAGGGTGCTAATGAATTGCACAGGTCACATATCATTACACAAGATTCACAAAACCTCATCATGTGATAATGACAGTTTTATGATGAATTTATTCACTCATTTCAGCCTACCACTTGTCCAAAGAAACCTTAAAAATTTCAATTAATGTGAGTCTCAAAAAATTCCAGATTTTCATCTATTCATTAGAATTGAAATGCATTGACAGATATTACTACGCTAATTTTTAAAATCTACACAAGCACTTTGTGTTCTTTCCCTCGTCGTCACTGTAGTTACTAGTAAGGACCATAAGCTCTGTTACAGGTGTATCGTCTTTTTCTACAACATTCATTTTCGGTGTTCTGGCCAGTACTCCAATATACCAATGGAGTTAGTGAGGTAGCCAGGACTCTAATATACCACTGGAGTCAATGAGGTAACTGCTTGGTAGTACCTGTTATCTGTGTTGATATTATGATTCTTTAATGGTGTTTGTCTCTAATATCTAGGACATTCCACAAAAGTGACCAATAATTTTGTGCATTGCTACCTAAGCTCTTCAGATAAACTTGTCATAATTAAACTAGATGATTTAATGTTCATGAAGGTCATTGTCACCATGCAGGTGTTGTGCATTTATGAAACTGATAATGGTAGCATTAGATTCTTAAAATTTCCTCTTCATGCTAATCATCATTCCTCAAATACTCAAAGATTTTGTTACTTTTAATACAAATCAGTACAAGCAATTAGAGTAAAATCAATGTTATGATCAAATAAGTAAATGTTATATTGAACATGGCCAGAAAACAATGCTCATGTAGTGTAAGGTTCCTTAGCTACAGGAGATGGTCGAGTTATGTATGAATTTGACCGCATTTCTCTTGTAAAGAAAGGCTGGGAATTTGGAAGTAATGGTTCATATCGTTCATGATGCTAAGGGATCTCATGGAATAAAAATAGATAAATCACAAAACAAGGAACTTCACAATACTAAAGCTGTTGAAAGGCAAATTTGCATCAACCCTGAAGACGGAAGGTCTGCCTTCTGAAAGCTAGGTTGTCCGTTCTCTTGTTTTGTCGTATTAGTGGAGTTTTTTAACTTTTGAATAAATAGAAGCAACTTAAATAACTTTTCTGTGAGTTAGATTACTTATGTCACCCCTTGGTACCGTTCAAACCGGTACATGAAACATTAAGGACCCTGTATGGGATTATTTGTTTGTCACCAGTTATTCGCGCAAAATTATGTAAAGACTATCTTTGCTACTCGTTCCTAATTCCGAACTGATAGATAAGAGGGAAGATAGATAGTCAATAGCATCAACAGCTAACTCGTGGCTAATCGAATTGTGAGATTTGTCTTTTATATGACGTATCCACGAGCTCAAAGTGTGTGGCGCGATTTTGCGGCGCACAAAACACCGCCCGAAGCTCGATCCAGTATGCAAGTCAAATAGTACTACCTAATGACTTAAATCACGCTTTATTCACTCTTGGAAAATTCTATAGAACTTCATAGCGGCATTTACATTAAGTAGGAAGTTTATTTTAATAAATATGAAGCGACAGAAATTAAAGTACGACACACCGTACGTGAATCCAACTAGAAAGTATCATTTATGAAATAACTTCTGTGAAGTGTTATAATTGATTCTCATAAAGCTATTTTAGCAAGATTGTTTTCATTGTTAATTATAATGAATCTTTACTATGGCCAAAATTATATGAGATATCCTTTTACTCATCTAACTTCATGTTTTCAGTAACCAGGCTCCGTCATTTATTTATTTTTTCTTTAGCCGAAACTCCAAGAGGTGATAAGTTGACATTGGTATGAAAAACGTACAACTACCAATTTTCTTCTCGTTCATAAATAATATTAATTAAAATGATAATTTGATAGGATATATGGTCAAAGACGTCATAACCTCCATTGAGCAGCATACAAGACTTTATGTAGATATATATATATACCTTAATTAAACCTTAGTAAGTTTCACCCACCCACACGTTTACGCGTGACGCATCGTGCAGCGCGTGCTTACAAGAGATCTGCGTAAATAGAACCCTTTAAAAAGCCCCAACGATTTTCTGTGGTATCTATTTGGGTCTCGAATACTATTTGACGCTCGTGGCCCACAAAACCAATACAGATCTCGTGGCCCAGTCTACATTGGCTGTAGTCTCTATGTAAGTAAGAAAAATATATTTATTAAAGTAATTTTTCTTGATTTAATACTTTTAAATGTTATATGACATATTTAAAACTTTCAATACTGTCGTATTTAAAACAACGAGCTATTTATTTGGCGAGTAAAGGGCTGTACACCAAAACCAAGCAGCGAGCTATGTTAGTATTTTTACAGCATAGGAAAACGCATAGCTCTATGCTCTGTCAAAAGAAGAAAAAAAAGTAAACCAAATTCTGATATTGGAAGAAAAGCTTATAACATTCCATAACCTATCCAAAAAAATGTTATATAGATGCTCAAGCGCAGAGGATAAATACAGTTCCATATGTATGGTTTTTGATCCATTAAGATATTTTTGCATAAAATTCATTTTATAGGGGTCGCAGGGTATAATTATACACATGACATCAAATAACATACTGTTACCTTTTGTTAACATATCAACGCGTCCTTAGAAGATTTATATTACACTTTAATATATCAGAATTATGTTTGCATAAGATCACGCAATAGGTAAGCTATTTTACAAAGTTCAATTGTATTGTTTAATGAACATGAGGAGATGAAACTGTAGTGATCAAACTGTCATAATTGATAAAACAAACGTTATAAACGAGGGTTTGAAGGATTCTGTGGAAAGTGTTTGGTAAAATTGAGCGATTGCTGAAGCTTCATTCTCCATGTATGTATATAACACTTACACTTTTTTCACACTAACAAAGGTAGATGACGAAGTCGAAACAAAGAAAATGGTGGACAGAGACTGAAGCTACAAAATATAGAGTTAAAGAAGGATTGAAAATTAAAACTCGTGATTGTGAATCATACTGAACGAAAGTTAAGTAGGTGAATATATTTAGTAGAATAGAGATTTAAACACTGATATACACACATTGGACGGTTAATAATGACTGATACAAACATGGAACTTTCTTTTTACAATCGTTCTACACTGTTGCTGCATGCAACCTCTGAATAAAGAAACAATATACTGTTTCATCATAGATGGCGCTTGAGGCAAAAAGTGTCCTGTTCAGGACAACCTAATACTTTCACTGTCTTACACAAAAATATGTTCTAGTTACACGAAGGCTGCTTCCAAGGAAATAAACACCCACACAATTAAACAGCGAGCATATAATATAAATGGTAATGGCTCACACTAATTGACGCTTCTCCTAAAGTGTGAACGCCAGATGTTAGTATCCCAATATTTGACTGGCTGTTCTATATAGTATATATATTATGTATATGTAATTATGTGTTATTAATGGGCGGGGATCAGGGTGCGATATCTCTTTTCTTTCCTCACGTTTGAGACTTATTTACACTTAAAAATTAATCTTAGTTAAAAACTAAATTGTGTTTCAATCTCAAGGCTCACAACACACGCTTTCCTCGTTAGAGGTACGGTAAGTGACTTTACAGTAGTAAGAAACACTGACAATTAATTAACACACACTTATTTAGATATTCCTGGAATCCGATAAACCAACATCGCGAGCACAACAATAACATTACAGCAAATTAATAACATCAACGAAACACTTCACTGCATTCACTCTTTCACAATACATCCTTACTTGACAGGGAAACATCATTCACAGGGGCACTCAATATGTAGGTTATAAACGTTAAAAGAAACAACAATAACAATCCTTTTATAACCACGAAACGACTAAAACATGAATTATTCAGATAACACTAGAACATAAAAACACTTATAAGTCAAATTCAACCAAATGTTTATCCTAACAGACCAAAGCTGTGACAATAAAATATATAATGTTAACATGATGAAAGAAAATCATACTTTTTTTATAAATATTTTAAAGTAAAATAAGTTAAAAGAACCATCTCATTAAACAAAATTTATATATAAAATATTAAACCTTCCTGTTTCTGAACCACCAAAGAAAAGGTAAACAATTACAGCCTATTCTGGACATTCGCCTAACACTAAGTTAAATCTAGCAAATGTGTAACTGAGCTAGGCATACATACTATCTCATACATAAAACAATGTCTAACTTGTAAGAGAAATTAGCTGAAAATGTCATCTTACTCTACTCAACTTACCAACAAACAGCTAAACAGAAATAGGCTATTCTAGTTATCCTATCACCCACAAACTTACAATAAATCTCGATTAAATTATTTTACAATATGATATCAAAACAAAACAACAAAAGAGATATGTGACATTTACTACTCAAAATCAAAAGCCCTCTACATATTTTTTTATATACAAAATCATTTCAAATCTTTCTATGAAATAACAGATATCCTTTTATACATTTAGTGCATAGTGTAAAATTAAACAGTATCTAACACACAGAACAACATCTTTGAAGTTACACAATAAAATATTGAAAACTCTAGAGTCAAATGATACAGGCGAAGTTAATGTACAAATCTTATAGTTAAATTTATGTTAAAGTGAAATCTATTTAAATGTAAACATAAACTTTAGAATACATAAAAATAAAATAAACCATTTTAGTACAGAACAAAACCTTCCTTGTGATATTTTAAGACACACTTATATTATGATGTTCAACATAAACCCACCATTTTATGAAAAAAATATGTAAAATACAAATAAAAACTTTCTCTTGAATTATTCGAACCTATTGTTGAAATCATCACTGCCAGAAACCCGTTATCTAATAATCATACCACATATAAAGCGTGTATATAAAGACACAATATTTACCAATGGTAAAGTGCCGCATACCCTTATCCTATAGTGCCCAGGAATCACCATATGTTTACCATTACTTTCTTTCCTAACACTGAAAAGCATGCATGGGATTTTAACTCAATCGTAAAATGCAATGGGTCTGTTATATCCCCTTCCGGAATTTCCCAACTCCTCCAGTATTCTTGGTGACTTGCTCCTCCTTTGCCACATCTATGTTATTTTACAGTAGATATCAGACCTGTCGCCCAGCAAGTAGTTTGAGTCTTTTATTCAGTGAACCAGCACACCACTGCTCAAAGGTGTAGTTATGAAAGGATGGTTAGCTTGTGGATTGGCATGTTCAAGGCTCCTGACACTGTTTGTATTTGGTCATCATAAATTATCCGAAAAGGTAGGCGATAGAAGCCATGATGTTTAATTCTAGAATTTTCTTAGTTCCTTTCATACAACTTCAAGGTCTTATTGCTATAGTAGAGACAGCTGACTTCTTATCCTCACTAATTCTTCTTCTAACGGAGAGCTCAGTCTTGAGTACCTCAGATATGTTTTTTATCTTTGCTTCTTAATCTTGTGTGCTAAGAAAAAGTGTTTTCCTGGCCCTTCGTTTTTTTCTATCATTGACAATTTGCCACAAGGAACATGTAAAATAGGTGGCGCTTCTCCGCTACTTCTTTTCTATGTGCCTATTAGCTTAAGATGGTGGAGTTTTATATACATACTCAAGAGTCGATCTTTATCCTCACATCATTTGCTGGGGTCATGCTAATGGTAAATATTTCGAACTTCCATGGCTAGCAGCTCTTCCTCCTCCGAAGTGAGACATAACAATTCTACTACTCGTCCTTCCAATACTGAAAAAGGTGGAACCACATTCATTCGGATAGCAGTTGTGGAACTGATAACTTTGGAATTTTTCAACCTTCACGAAAATGCCAATTCAGAGTCACTCTCCATCAATGCAATTAAAAAAGAAAATAACTACACTTTGTCTTATTAATTTGATAAGAAGGAAAAATTATTAAATTAAACTTTCTTTCCTCTGCTCAGACACAGAGGCGCGGCAGCATTATGTCCAGAAAAAAGGTTTAAAATCTAGGTTTAAGAAATGGTGAATTAAAATACCAAATATAGTGGCACATTAAAAGGTCTCATTACATAAGACATTTATTATGTGTCAAAACTAAGAAGTGAACTATTTTGGAGTTAGTGAGGAAATAGCTCATTTTGTTTGTAGGTTGGTTTCAACATTAGCTTCGTTGACACATTATCCTTCTTAATTACATGTACAAAAACATACTTATTTGTGTACATTAATGCAATTTCCACTATTCATTTCAAATTTGCTTGTCTTATTCTCTAAATTACTTCTTTAAGTTTTCAGAAGCAGTCTGAAATGTTGAGCCAACTAACAGTATATTATTAACATAGTATTCTGTAGCACAATGCGTAATGTAAGCCCTATTAGTTGATCCAAATTGCATTGTATTACCCAAATGGAAGAGTCCTTGAGGACTGATGAAAAGCCTTAGATCTGCTTTCGTCATTAAGTTCAATTTGTTAGTAGCCAAATGTGAGATCTAGCATAGTGAACCAGTGGGTACCCTCTAAAGCATCTAGTCATTCACCTGTACCACGGAATGGAAGTGCATCAATGCACATTATTATATTTCATTCAATCATCTAAAGCCAACACAACTTTAGCATTCCTATTTTGCGATAACTGTTGGTGGTGTCATCTCAATTTCAGTGCTGACTATGACCCATGGAATCCAAAGTAGCCTGTGTGACTGTCGTTTTAGCAATAACGTATTTATAGTGTGTGTGTGTATGTACGTTGCCAGGATAATTTCTTACACCGAGTTAGTCAGCCATACAAATATTTAGGCACATTCTACCATTAACTAGCTAAGACCCTTTTGCTGATTTTCATCAAGGTCTATGCTAAAAAAATTTTCAGACACCTCCCATTTTTTGAAAGCTTTATTTTCATTCTTGGATATGGCACGATTAAAGTAATTTTAGAAAAAAATTTCATTTACTTTTTCTTTACATACAATGCCTATAACTAAACCAACCAGTAACTTTATAGCCACCAATTATACACCATCAGTGGTACGTATCTTGTTCTAGAAGAAATTATCATCCTAACAAGTGTAGCTAGTAAACAGACCATTTCACATGTAATTTACATCACTGCATTTCGTGCAAAGCTACTCTAGGGCTAACAGCACTAGCCGTCCCTAATTTTGAAGTGATAAACTAGAGGAAAGGCAAATAGTCAACATCACCTACCGCCAACTTGTGGGCTACTCTAATCGAATAGTGGAACCTCGGATTCACAGTCCGGCACGCTTACCACTGGTCGCACTTGACCCAGCCCTTGTGTAGCTTTGCGTGAATATCCAAAACAATTAAACAACCTCGTATCAAGAATGTTGCAATATATAAAGTTTTATAATTCGAATGTTTTGTTTAAGCAAGTTCGTGTAACTGGAATGATTATAATAATCCAAAACGTTGAAGAACACTTTTTATTTTTCCATTTTATATCCCATACTGTCTCAGAAAATTAGTTAATATAACACTTTGTGTGCTGGGTTCGTACAGCAAAATTTATCACTTGTTTTTTATTTCAGTGACTGAATTTAAAAACAGAAAAATACCAGAATATCAACTTCTCTGCTAACTGAGTAAAGAAACGTAATGTATTTTCGAAACGAACTACGTCATCACGTGAGTTACTTCCTGGTTATTTGTCTCTGCAGTGTCGCCGTTTACTCAGGTAATTTATGTCAATATTTCTAAGGTAAAGTATTTACTACCTTTTGATTAAGTTGCTTCAATTCTAAACTGCATTTTATCAGCATATGAAAAGTATAATTAGCATAAGATAAAACCTTGCAAAAAATATGACCAATTGATATAAATATATGCTTATGTTATAGGAGCACAGGTTCGAATACTAATCGGTTTTCGTTTTAGTTTGTAAGAAATCATGTTTAATTATGCCATATTCTCATAAATTAAAGTGCATAGAATGTTTAAAGTAAGACATTTAATTTTGACTTTCGAAGGTTATTTGTCGATATACTTCCAGGCTCAAAACTACTTCACTACTAAACGATCAATGCTCTATTCGACTCAAGACAGATTTATTAATGTTAATAATTGTCAGATTAGATTGAAGAACACGAGTTCGTTGAATTATTTTAGATTTTGAAGAGAAATTCATAATGCAGAGTAAAGCGCGTGAAGTGTCGTAAGATATTTACATTGCTTCTTTCTATATGTTTGTGTATTGTCAGTGAACAAAAGAAAAGTTAAATATTGTTTTACTGTAAATAATCTTATAACACTACACTTTATCATTTAAAAACGCAAAGCGTTATTGTGCTTATGGAATTATAGCCTTGAAGATGACAGTTACAAAATTAAACGCAATTACCAAGCCACACATTGATGTAAAAACTGTCACAAGCTCAAAAATATATTTCAAGAGTTATAGGGTATATCAACAAGACTGGTGATATGTAATAATTAAACGAATTAGTAAACAAAGACATGTCATTTCAAGTATAATTCGATTTATATTTGTTTAGTAATTAAAATATTGAAATTAGTTTTAGGCTAAATAGACTTTATATATCAGACCCAGATATATCAATGAGAACATTATAAGCCATAAGACTGAATACCCCAGAATATGCTTAATTCATAACTTACACGTAAAAAAATTAAGTTTTTTTTCATTATTATAATAATCTATTACTATTTACAAGTTTAATGGACTTCAACAAACTACCATGATTGGAAGTAATTGGAAATTGGTTTTGAATAATGTCTCTCCTAAACTCTTTACAAGTTTAATGGACTTCAACAAACTACCATGATTGGAAGTAATTGGAAATTGGTTTTGAATAATGTCTCTCCTAAACTCTTTACAAGTTTAATGGACTTCAACAAACTACCATGATTGGAAGTAATTAGAAATTGGTTTTGAATAATGTCTCTCCTAAACTCTTTAC